ACCACCATTAGTGTATTGTGAAAATATTGATACTTTCCAAAGCCTGCAAATTAAACAATCAGTTTACTGATAATTATCTACCACCGACATATAGTCAATTAATTTTAAATATAGATAATATTCACCTGCTACTTCTAAAGCTTCTTCAAGATCTGTTTCCATTTTCTTCAATTTATACGAGGATAGTTCTCTTTTCGTTCCGTCCATTTCTCCGTTAGTATAATATAATGTAGCAAAAGCATAAAATAATATCGTTAATGCAATTTAAAATTAAATAAACTGTGTATTAAATAGTAATTTTCATAATATTGGAAACTTAGTTGTCTGTTATTTAATATTACGTAATTTTCCAAATATAACAATTCTATTTTTAACACAATTAGTGTAGGTTTCGATACCCAATCACTTTCTTTTCCCTTTTCGAATACACAAAACGCCCTCGTCTCCGTGCGCACACAATAACTGTCTAGTGGAACTAAAAATATTATATGAATTGTTTACATTACAATTTGCACCGAAGATATTGTTTATTTACAATAATAATTATTCGGTTAATTGTCTTGAGGACATTTATTGACGATTCATTCTTAACTTACGCTCGGAAATTTTCAGAGATCCTTAAAACTGAGTAAGGATTTAAATTAAATTTGGAATAGATTATATTTAATTAACGATCATCGTTTTTAATATATATTTCCAGTCGTGCAATCAATATTCTTATGTATTTTCATTTTATAAATACTGGTCCCCTCATAGGAGACGTATAGTGGAGCTGATGATGACTTTACAAACATATTTACTCACACATAATGGATGTGTTCATTTTAAGTTTTTTAAAGCCATCCGAATAATTAACATAGCAAGAAGGGCCAGACAAGGATTGTTTAAACCCTCTTTTGTCATAATAAATATAATTATTTTCAAACCAAATATAATAAAGTTGGGTACGGCATCCAGGTGACTTTACCCAACTCACACTTTCCGATATATTTTATCTCATTAATGATTTACATGGCCATTGAACATCGTAAGTACTTCTATAACGAATGCAATCTTTGTACCTCAATATAATATGCCCTTTACAAAGAACATAGCTAAGATAAGACACATACAAATTATTGTCGATAATAACAGTGAAAGTTCAATAGTTATCGATTATATTTTTATTATTGTTATCAATATAATTTTACTCTGTGACAGAAATATCAACTTGTAAACAATTCACCGATTACAAGTTCAGTATGAACTTTCACAATAATAATATACGTCGTAATTTACAATGGAAATTAATATTATATAAACTTTCTTTAAATAATAAAATTTTAGTAGACAAAAACATTTTTTACGTATACTTATATTTGTTGTGCATATTTCATCCCACTGAAAAAGAAATCGTTTGTACAACTCCTTCTATTAATGTTTATAACTTGTAATGGCGCAAATTTGCTTTATATATTTAACAGGCGCTTTTGTAGTATTTATTTATAACACGGAAGAGATCCGTATGATCAACGAAGCGCAGCGTCTCAACTGTTGCGTAACTTCGCGGTCGCTAACGGTGGTTACTTCATACGAATTATACAGATCGAATACGATACGAATTTCAAAAATGAAATTGACGCGCGACAATCACATGACATATCGGAAGTTATTGTCATTTTTATACATTTTTGAGTTCGTTCGTTATGGAATCGCCTCGAAGTGAATGAATTATGCCTAACCCCGAAGGTTACAATAGAAATTGAGACCAATCGTTCAAATAAAATTATCTAAATGTTTCGCAAACAAACCACTGAAACGATATATAATTACTGTGAGAAAGCAATCATTATTATCAGAGGAATTACTCTTGGAGTCAAATACATTTATTATTAATATAATTATTTATAAATCAAATGTTTGTTTAACGGTTGTTGTCTTACAAATATAATGCATCTATTGCAGTAGTATTGTTTGTAGATCAAACATCTTTCGCTTCCGCACTGGGAAACCCTGTGGGTTTATATTTAATTTGATATTGATGTTTATTTATTACTCTGAGTTTCCATTACCGAAGCAACTGCAACAAAACATGTCCTTTTTTTGTTCAAGTTTTCAACACCGCAATCTTATAAGCAAATAGACACAAAACAACATAACTTATAGCCTGTCCAGTGGAACATAGAATGTATCCGCTTGTTTCTCGCCGAGTCTTTATCTTTAAAATTATAAATGCGAATGTTTAGATGGATGGATGGATGTTAGAAGGTATCTCTAGAACGATTGAAGTGATCTCGATGTAATTTGGCATAAATACAGAACATAGTCTGGAAGAACACATAGGCTATTAATTGTGTTTTTTTAATTATTGTTATTATGACGTATGAACCTTTAAGGTACGCGTCCATTGGTCCATTGACACGTATGGTTTTAACGAATTTGGATGAGGGACGTAGCGTTATGTTAGTTCAAAACTTACATCGACGCGGGCCAATGGTATCTTTAGAGTTCAAGTTTTATTACTTATTAATACAGTTATTCTTTGACTCTAAATACATGACTGTAAGCTGTAGTATTTTGGGCATATTTATATTTATAAGTTACAAGTATTTAAACTTTTTAAATCGAATACATCGATGTTAATCCCGTAGCTTATTATAAAAACCAAAACTGGCAACTCTAATCGCAATAATAACTTTAAATTATATTTTCAACCATGAATTTCTAAAAAAAAAAGTAAGTAATTCTTTAAAATCTTACTAAAGGTTGAAACTTTAATTAAAAAGAAAATTATTCCATGACAGTTTGTTCTGCCGCACGACCTAAACACAAATATATATATTTTTTTCAATGGAATTTAGTAGAACTAAATGTTTACACTAGAGATGATTCTGTAGTAGAAACACACTTTAATAAAATAAAAACATGTATTATAGATGCAAGATTTTAGTATTTTGAGACGCATATAATCGCATTAAGAACTCCTTATCTATTATAATTTATCGATTACTTTTGTGACATTTTCATTGGTTTAATATAATTTGATATCATGTAATAAAAATGCGCACAATAAAAATATATTTATAGTAAAAGTTAAAATTGTGAACTAAATATTATAAATAAATCCACATGTTGATAAAGAATTTGTTATTGCAAGGCGTGTGTGGTTTTTGATAAGAATCAAATTGCTTCTACTTAGCGGTGTAAAATTAATAAAAATAAAAAGTTAATGAACGCGATATCTTAGTATAGGAAGGTCAGATATGCGGCGACTATTATTTGAATAGAGTTAGAGAATATTCACCTTATATTTTTCAGTTATTTACTACTGCCGTAAAACCGAAAGGTACATATGTAGTACCAACAACGCTACCCGATGTGGTATAAGCCACTAGCCCCCCTATTCATTTTAAGAAGTATCATACATCACCCCTTTGTTTTTCCAGAGAAGAATGCTTTATGCATACGCGGTAGTTATGTGGGATTCTCCTTCATAGCGCAGGCATACCCACTAAACTTTTCTGTTCCTCTAACGCATCGGGACGGGTCACGGGCACGCTTTCGCTCTCGTCCGCGACCCATCATACATCACCCCTAACTTAAGGTACGCTATGAGCCCCTCGGTAGGAACGTATAGTGAGCTGGTGATGATAATCACAAGATATCGGTTGTGTACTGTCTTCTCAATTTTTTCTTTTATGTTATTTTCTATTATATATCTAGGTTTTACATTTTTTCTTACAGTATTAACCGTGTGAACAACGTTTCTCTCATCTGCTCACATTATAATTAGACTGGCTACGAAACGTAGTATTTTGTGCCTATTTGATTTTCGCCATTTTGACGCTGATAGCGGTTTGTAGCTGTGGTATGGATTCGAACTAATAATTAGCTGTCACGTAACATCGGAACAAAGCAAAAGCTGTTATTTCCAAGCATTTATAGAGACCAGTGTGCTCAGATGAGTTGGTCCACCTATTCCTACTGTAATATAATCCTTCTAGCTGTCCAGGTATTCTCACCGTGAAAAATTTAACATTCTGTATAATATCAAATATTGTCAAAGACACGATTAATAGTTAAACAAAATCTACAAGATACAAATGAATATAAGAACATTTCTACAAGCAAAATAAAATAATAAAAAAATCGTTTTGTAACAATTACATTACAGTTTTGTAGTCAGATTTCTCGCAAAACAATGTCTTTGTTTGAATTGTGCTCGGAAAGCCTAGAACAATATAGGCGGTACAAACACGCTCGTATCACGACCCCCCGGCCAGTTCATCCTTATGTCAACTGACTGTGTCACACAGTGTTACGTATTTGTTTTACGTTGGAATTTATTATAATAGTAACTTTTGCCTGCGGTTTTGTCCGCGTAATAAAAAAACTTTTTAAGTTACCTAATGTAGTGAAAATTAGCTTTTTTAACAAAATTAATCCTTATTAAATTACGATGTGGTTAAATTATTATTTATAACGAATCTTATAGCACTTATGTACATGACCTTTTTAGATTAATCGTACTAATATTGTTAATACAAATGTTTTGATGGATGGATGGATGTTTGTTAGAAGGTATCTCCAGAACCGTTGCATAGATCTCGCTGAAATCATCAGTAGAACATAGTCTGGAAGAACACATAGTCTTTTTTATCCTTATTATTATTTCAGTTTTTTTTATACCGCGTGGACGCAGTCGCAACCTACAGCTAATTTGTTATAACATTACAAATTTAATTTCAATACCTAAACCAACTTAATATCTGGGCAACCAATTAACCAAAGATCGTGCATCGACCGCTGAACAAGAGAAAAAAGACTAAAAGCGAAAGGCACGTCAGATGAACATTGGACAAGAGATAAAAAAGTTAAAAACCTCCTTGTTGTCGGACCAAGGAGGTTTTATATATGCGAATCGATCATGTTTTTTCCTCGAACGACAGGTCAAAATACCAGCCAGTTAACTGCGCTCGAAGGCCGTGAAAGTGGACCCTTGTGTTGCAGTGCAGCCACGATATATGTCCCACACGGCCGTGTGCAGGCATAGTGGAATATTTGTGATTATTTACAATTCGTTACCTGTTTATCTATATTTATATATCTATTATTAATCCGGCCTAACTGTCAGATACAAGATTTATGTAATTGGAACCGGCTTTTGATATATTTACAAAGGATTAGAACGTTTTTAATATGTATTAATCATTTCAAAGGTAAGTGTGTTAAAATGCACTGATATTTGATTATGTTTACAGATTAAAAGAGATTATTGGTTGAGGGAGATCTTTGAATGAATTTACATGAAATAAAAGAAGTAGATTTTTAAAATACGGCGTTTTTTGAACGAAATCTTGTTTATTTTGTATACAGAAATAAACATATTTTTATTTCAAATAATTTAATTTTCGCTTGAAAGAATCGCATGTTAGTTATTAACGATAATCAATTAACTGGCGAATATTAGAAGCATGAATTTATAACTTTAAATGTGTTTTTTAGTAATTCACGCGAAAACTGCAACAGGTTTTGATGTAACTATATTGTTATGTAACTTGAACAACGAAGCATCATTCACTAAAAAATAACTGGCAATAACTATTTAGTTGTATTTAAAAAAAAACAATAAGCCCGATTGAGTGTACAGTCAGCTGTATAAATATGTATACATTTACAAAACTTTAGATGGACTGTCCGCTTCAAAAATACTTTTGCACACATTCGTCAAGAAGATGGACTGATAGATTGAAGCATAGGATATTGAGTGCTGAATTAATACATTCTGCCAAAGACGTGGCATACTGGCCATTAAGAACCTTTGTCTTTTAAATAAGAAAAAGTTAGGTGAAAAAAAGAGAAGATAGCGCGGGAAGTGAACAACGAGACGAAGTCGCGTAAACTGCTCAATGAAATAAACGTATTTTGGCTGTAATGCTTTCAATTTATAAAAAGGGACCGATTCATACATACATATTTTTTACACCAAAAACGTATTTCTACTTTTTAATGTATACACATTTATGCAGCTGACTGTACCCTATGTTATTATGCGGAAGACTAATAAACACAAATCACATGCCAAAATCAGATCAACAGTTGGGCTACAAGCTCACGAGGCGTATAATTTGATCCCTATTATATGTACATATGCAAGCTAATTTTAATTGTAATTAGCACATTAACCGTGGGTTTTTGAGAACAAAATATCTATTTAAAACACATAGTCGTCCCTGTCATTATCTTTGACATGTTTGAGATAATATATTTCAAACGGGGATTTTAGTTTCAGAAACCCACGGCAAGTCCAAGGATAAAGCCTAACACGATAATAAATTTTAAGTCATTAGCGTCAGGTTTAACTAAGATTAGGTTCAAATTAACGGTAAAGATTAAATTAAACTCTGGTTAGTCTTAGTCGTAACTTTTAATATTAAATTGTTACAAAGATATGAAACCTTATGAAAACTTGGTTTTATGACATTTTAAGCACAGGCAGAGAATTTAACTTAATAAGTGTTTGTAAAAGCAGTTTCGTGCAAACGGATAACTGGTTTACAATATATTTTATTCGAGAAACAAAGGGTAATCTTTTATATTTTATCTATGCTATGTAAAGTGTAAAGTGCATATAGCTTAGGGCCACTTTTTAAAAATATTATTCGGTAGTATTAATGCTGCAATTGCAATTTACATTTTTAAATACTACCAACATAATTAGTTTTGATATCGGATGAATCGAATTTAGAAACATCTCAATATATTAAGACTAATATTGCGGTTATGTTTGACAATATTTCGTGGTTTTTGTACAACTTTAAAATGTCAAAAAGCTAAAATGCTACTTTAACTCTTTTCTGTTATGTTTTAAATTTTATCATTCAGGTAACGGAATGAGTTGAAGGAATTAAAGTGCTTGTTTATTTTTTTGAGATTTCCATAAAACGAATAGTTTTCAATGAGAATATAATGTTAATAAATTATAATTTTATCGCTAAACATTAAAATAAGTAAACTACGACTATCTCTATCCTTTTTATAATTACAATGAAAAATTATTACACAGTTTGAAAGCTAAGAAGTCGGCAGATAACTAATAATTTGCTTTATTTTAATAAACAAATGCAGATAAAATTAACTAGTGTTGAATATTCTTTCAAATTTATTGAATTCAATACAATAGTTGTAACATCTATCACAGCGTATTCTAGAGAAAGTCACGCGCCACGGATAGAGATGCGACCGGGCCGGGTTTTTTTTACAACTAAACTAACAAATTTATCTCCCACTGATGTATGAATAAACAGCTGTTGCCAAATTACGTCATGGAATTTATCATCGAACGCATTACATTTTGCAGAAGGTCATAGAAAGGTAATTTATGGACCATGTGACCACGGTAAACTTGATTTAGGAGCTCGCAGAAAATTCAATAGAAATTACAACCTGTAAATAATGTTTAAAAATAAGAATGGCTGCAATCTCGCTTAAATTTGGCATGGATTTAGAACATTGTCTGGAAGAACATTTGTAGGCTACCAATTAGGGTCCATACTCACGTGAACGCAATCTCAGGCGACAGCTAGTACCTAAGATAGCTAGTTAGGTATAAGTATGGATTGTGGGATAGTGTAAAATTTATAAATCTAATATAACACTTTTGTAATGTTTGGTATACAACGGTGTTTGTCTATCGCTATGCATGCTATAAATAAGTAGCTCGCTTCATGTCCTCCTGTTCTTCAACAATGTAATTTCTTTTGAGGTATTCATCATCTTCTGCTTACGTTGATTAAACAGTAAACAAGTTGTTAATATCGGTAGTGTATCCCTTATAAGTTTAGTATACAAGCTTCAGCGGGTCTAGAAAAAGTGCGTTCGCTCCGAAACGATTCCATAACGAACTTCAAAAATATATAGAACTGACAATAACTTTCAATCAGTCACGTGATTGTCGCGCGTTAGTTAAATATATTTTTGAAATTTGTTATGGCATCACCTCGAAGTGAATGTTATTTGTCTAGCCCTCCTGATGTTAAATGGTATGATCGAAAGATGTACGGGTTAGATTTTCACTTCGTGCTTTGACGTAGACACCGTCGGTGGCAACTTATTCAACTCCTTTGCTGTGTTCACAATGAACTAAGTTGAAGTAGATACTTGGAAAATATTTACAGCGACAATTCTGCAGAAATTCGAACTCAAACCTTTGCATACCATTAAGTACAGAACACTTAACCGATTAGATTATTTTTGTTTTTTCACGTCATGGAAATCTTTTTACATACTACGTTCTCGTAATTTTCTACAAATAAAATTATCTTACATATGATAAAACTAAATATAGATAATTATTATATACTATTTATGTCTGACGGTCATAAGCAGCCATGTAACATAAGTTGCTCAAATGAACGACCAACGTTTGTTACCTCTGTTCGGACACAGCTCTGACCATGCGGAATTTAAAAAAAGTTCCCTATGTGTTCTTCCGGACTATGTTCTATATCCGTTGTCCCGTTCTGCAGATACATATTATTAGTAATATTTTTTTTTTACATCCATAAGAATACAAGCTTTATTTAACTATTGTGTTACTTCTTTGTTTCTTGTGGTCGCCACGTTGTAGAGTCCCTGTCTCATCCTCTCTTTCAATAGAGGTTTTGGTTTCAATTTCATATAAATGTTTCTTGACCATTTAATATATAATATAATATATATCTAGGTGACTTCCCTAGCACTTTATTCATCTTGCTTTTTTAGAAGTAAGTCAAAGCTTCAGTAGGTGCCTATGAACTTATTTATTGCTTGCTTTTATGTTTCTATGGTACTATTATTAGTTTTTCAATCTACGTCACACCTGTTGAGTGAAATGTCGTCATCAGTTGACCAACATCAATTTAAATCTTATCTAACAAAGGTAACTGTATCTTTGCTAATTTTAGAATTCTCTCGAGAAAGCAAGAACAAATACAGATGTGTAAACGGAACATCATCAGATGTTTATTGTAAATAATATACCGCCTCCCATGACGAAGCTAAAAGATAATGACGTACACCACATGATATATAAAGGAGAAAACTTACCGCAAAGCAAATGTATTGAGGAACGAATCGCACTCCGAGCCGGCGCCGCCTGGAAACCCATCTCAGGACTCATCTGACACCTCTATAAATTTAATTCTTCAATTGAACATATTAAATAAAAAATATTCCTTTGAATAGAAGGTAAGGTTGAACATGTTATTAAGTGATTAAAAAAAAACCCTTCCATTTTTGAAATAGGAAAAAACAAATGGAACTCTATTTCTATAGGAAGATAGTAACTGGCTAATAGTATATTAAAAGTAGGTTCGGAACCAAGGAGGATAGTTTCTAGTATGAGTAATTGATCTTTTAAAAAAACTATTTAATCCCTTTAATATGTGCAATGGCCCTTAAATATAAGTAGAGTACTAAGGGAGCAAAATCTAATTAATATAGTATAAGGTTTAAATCTAGAAAAAGTGACAAAAAATAACAATCGATTTGATTTTTATTCACTATGGGTAGTCTTTTAAAATCAATTTAACTTATTTTGACTTAATTACTTAATAAAGTTTTCATAGAATAACAGATAAAAGCAAGCAACAACTTGTTATAAAATTAGTTTTACATTTTTTTACTTGAGCTTATTATTTTATCCATAAAATCTTTATTCTTTTTCTTCTACTATTAATTTATTATTAAACCCGTAGCTAACTAAAGTGTTATAAATGAGAATTCCTTTGACTTTCAATAATATGTTTGCACTTTAGAAATAGAGTAGGCATGTAACTCGCAAACTTGACACAAATCTAGGCAAGTCTGCCTCGACTTATAATTTTAATTAAAGGTACAGCCTTGTAGTTCGAATACCTTATATTTCAAATATTACATTTACGTAAGGTAAAATATTTAATATTGTGTTTAATAATACTTATGTTCAACTTTTTAGGTCAAATTAATGTTATTATAAAATTTATTATATAAAATTCATAAATAATCGAAATATTAATAATACAAAATTATATTTTAACTACTGCGTACCAAAATCTTAAATCGTAAGCATCTTTACCGTTAGCAATAACATAATATGGCTATAATAAAATTGTTTTCTTTTAAAATTGTCGATTTGGAGTACTGTAAAGTTTATAGTTGTAAAAGCTTCATATGTTTTTACTTTTAGGTTAGACTTAAAGCTATCTACACACCTTTAGTTTTAATTGCACAGTCTGACTGTTCAATTAATGCTGAATGTGTGCAGCTGACTTTACAGTCATGTTCTTTCTTAATAAACGAATAACTCATACAAGTAATAAGTTATAATATTTTTTAGGTTACTGTACATGCAAAATGGGACTCAAAGAAAGGAACCACAAATCCTTGGATATGGAGAAATCGAAGTCTTTGGACGCGGGAAATATAGAAGAGGCTTTAACAGCCACAGGTTAGTAAATACATCTATTTTATATTAAAATTGACAAAAGTTAGAATTAAAAAAGTATTAATTGTTTATACTTTATTTGTTCATAATTTCGACAAGGAAAAGTTAATCAAAAAACTATATTTTTGTATGTTTTATTTTCTTCCACTTTATGATTACAATTAGTTAATAAAATAACATAATAAACACAAACAGATATAGAAGCGGCTACTATAATTAGATAATATTTATTATCTGTAATGTGATCATCGAGGTCAAATCTCTTTGAATCCATTGCCAAGGACTATGGCCGCGTAAGCGTTAATCTTAATTCCGCTCTAATGTTCTAACTTGGAAATACTTAAGTATCTTCAAATATTGTTTCAAAAAATCTTAATAATTGTTTCGTTTTATTTTCCTATCAACTAAATAACAAAGGGTCGCGTAGGTGGTTCATGTAATCTGCACATATGTATTTGATAAGAAATTCAAAGATGTGTATGTATTCAAACAATTCCCATAGGACCAGCGTGACTAAGGCCTAATTTAGGTTAGGTTCTACCTCGTCGGTGGAGACGTATACGAGATGATGATAAAAGCAGATGTGTAGATTTAGAAAAATGTAAATTGTTGTAGGTTTCGGAAGGTACAACTTCGGTCTGCTGCTGATATGCAGCTGGACGCTGCAGGCGATGGGTATGGACCTGTTCGGTACCAGTTTCGTGGTAGCCGCCGCCGTTTGTGACCTCCAGCTCACCATGCAGCAACGGGCGCTGCTGACAGCCATGCCGCTAGTTGGTAAGACTTGATGAGTTTACTTATTGGTGACATTTGATGTATTTATCCATGGGATAATCTGTGATCAAAATAATCCGCTGCGAGTAATATGCATAGGTAATATTGAAATCCAAAACGCATTAGCGTGCAAAGTTGCAGAAAAAGTGAGCTTGGCCCTAAAAATGGTCAATACTGAATACTACTACACTTTAGTTTTCTATATCTAGTACTTTTTTATATAGTACACTAAATATTTTATTATATAATACTAAAATACCTCGTATTTGTAACTGTATATCAAAAATGGATATAAAAAATGTCTATTACGCAGGCGTGGTGGCTGGCGCGCAGCTGTGGGGCTACATCTCTGACACGAAGGGCCGCCGGCTCACGCTGGTGTTGTCCATGTCGGTCGGTTTCGTCTTCGCTGCTCTTAGCAGCTTCGCACCCGACTGGAAGTCTATGGCCGTACTAAAGCTAATATCATCTACATTGTAAGTTGTTTAAATCATAGCACCGCAAATTTTTAATAATTTCAAAATATGAATATATGTACAATCAGACCCAGAATCATCAAAATTGATTTATTAGAATCAAGAAAAAAAAAACTTACTGAATTCTATTCTTGTCTGTAGTAATAGAATTCATAGTCGCAATCCACGTAAGAAAATGTAAGTTGCACGAACCGGTTGTGCAAAAAGCGATTCGCATTCCGAAGAAACGACTTATACCAGATGCTATATCAGGCATTTAACAACTTTCGTACATAGCACTAAAATAACTAGTAAATTATTCCACGCATAAGCAAACCTAAATTTAGCACTGCTATTATTAACCTAAAAATAACTTGATAGTGTTAGCTAATGTGATAAAAATAGCATCATTAGAGCCAGGTAACAGCGGCCTCATGTGCAAATAGCCCCAGACAATGCATTAGATAAGCACTGAAACAGTCGCGCCGTACAAATATGTTTTACGGCTGCAGAGATAAAGGAGTCACGCTCATGACCTACAGGAGTAGACATTGATAATGGATGTCCATTGTCTAATTACTACTCTCACGTTTTTTACATTCATTCACCTTACAGGTCCTATGTCTTCGTCGTTCTTGCGTGAATCGCATAATTCTATCTCCTTTGTGAAGTATGTAACTGGCCAGTTTGCATTTAAAAAAATATTGTTAATCATGTTCTTTCTCTATTATTTGCTTGTTCATGGTTTTCTGTTGCATCTGTATCTAGTGTTGCCAGCCAGTACGTGTGGTATCCAAACGTGTTTGACTTATTTACTCTGTTGCAGCACGTCTGCAAGTAATTCTGGTGCGTACACACTGCTGGGAGAGAGCTGCCCGGAGCGTGCTCGAGGTCGCTCTATGTTACTCTGTACGTGTTCTCTCATGTGCTCGCAGGCGGTTGTCGCTGGTGAGTTTGATTTTCAAACAAGCAATGAAAAAAATATATAATCACATTTGGTGACATGATGCACTTGGTGCAACATCGTCATACTTAGCGAACAATAACATCGTGAAAAACAAAACTGTTTACTGCTGACGATAAATAAACACTATTTATGTTATTAAACATACAAACATCTCAGATTTACGTAAATATTACACAGATAAAAGCATTTACTAAATTTATAACTTTACTCTTGTCTCTGTTCTTTAAAAGAGAATGTGTGCGATGGCAATATGTATCACATTATATCACATCTATCACATTTTATCATATTTGTAAGCACGCTGGTTAAGTGATAGGATTGATGATTTTTGTTAACTCTTTCTAAACTTCAGAAACTTTCATATATATTTTTCCTTTTTTAGTGTTCGCATATCCCATCCTGCCACTAAAATTCGTCTACTGGATCGATTTCTTAAGTATCACGTACCGACCATGGCGACTCCTCGCTCTGGTGATGTCCTTACCTTGTGCCGCGACTGCCTGCCTATTGCAGCTGTTCCATGAGAGTCCTAAGTTCTTGGTCTCCAGGGGGAAGACCGAACAAGCTCTGGAAGTATTGAAGAAGATATATGCTATCAACACTGGAAATTCACCAAGCAACTTTCCTGTAAGTAATCAGTAATTCCTGTTAAATATTTGTTTAGTGATACATAGCGACAAGAAGATGGTCAAGAGAAGAAACAGTTGTGTTCTTGTTTTATCTTTATGATAGGTTGGTGTTCTTCTTTTTAAAGTTTAATTGTTCCTTTTTAGATTACCAAATTGATAGTAGACGCGGACCAGACTGTGACTCGCGAGGACTCGTTCGTGAAGGCGATGTGGGAGCAGACGGTTGCGCTGTTTCGGCCGCCCATGCTCAGGGAGACTCTTAGGCTGTTCTACCTCGTCACTGTTATTTATATGACGTAAGTTTTCTCTGGGCCCAGCACTAATATTTGTGACAATCGCCTTCTTAACGTCATCATAAGTTATATCAAAATTACTATAAGATTTGTGGTGTACTTTAAACCCGATAAGCGTATGAATTTTATTACAACTTTTGTCGATAATGATACGATAACCATTGTGACAATCTGTCCTGCCCACTGTTATTTTTATCTGATAACTAAAAGACTTTAATGTTTTCAATATTATTATTATTATTACATAATTATAAGTATGATGTCTATTCTATTTTGATGTTTAGTAGCCTTGAAGGTATGCATAGTAGGATTGATTATTACTCGCGTATTTGCTTATAGAACACATTTAAACATTCCCGCTTATTTCGCATGTAGTGGCAGCGGCTTCATACTGTGGCTGCCGTACATCATGAACAACCTGTTCTCTGTACTGGAGGTGGGCGGCGGCGACGGGATGAATCTCTGCACCGTCATCAGATACTCTACAGGACAGACTGATGGCAATGATACTGTAAGTACATTACAAATTAATAAACCCTACTTTATCAGGACTATAGAAGATAGATTTTTAAGCATAATTCCTATGTTTATTCATCAAGATTTTGAATATACTGATGTGAAGCTAATTTAACTCGACATTACAGATGATCCCAGAACCTTGCAATGACACGATCCAAGAGACGACTCTCCTCTCCGCAATGATGTATGGTGCTTTGGCCAGCTCATCCAACCTCATCCTGTCCCTGACATGCGGTGGCAAAAAGCGAGTCGCCATGATGGGCATCCTCGCCATGTCTGCTGTCGCTGGAGTTCTTCTCAACCTCGTCAGGATTCCTATCGCTGGTGGAATATTCTTCTTCTTCTTCTTGATGTGTGCGCTTTCCATGGGGATACTTAGCGTCTACTTTGTTGAGCTCTACCCAACACATTTAAGGTTAGAAACTTTGTATCGTAATGTTTGGATATCTGAATTTATGTTTATGAACTGTTTAATATTTTTTTTTATTTTATTTGATGTAAAATGAGGGAAATACTTGGTTAATTGAAAAAATGAATAAATTTTCTGTCTGTTTTGTTAGAGGGATGGCGTCATGCCTGTCAGTGATGCTGGGCAGATCCAGCGCCTTCCTCGGGGTGAACGCGATCGGAGCGCTCATATCGGCCAACTGTGAAGCCACATTCTATGGATGGTCTCTTCTATTAGTGAGTAAGTATCCGACCGACTCTACAGGTCTGTAGTTAATGCGCTAATACTACTTAAAAAGATCATATTCAGTTGGAAACAGAGTATCTATAATAGCTTATCAACAACATAATAGCGACCATAACCCAAAGAAGTAGGCAGAGACCACGGATCATTTGACGCGGTCCTGAAACAATTCTCTCGCTATTTTAACATTTTTGATAAAATGCAATACAGAAACAATCCATTTATTTTACTTTGAAGTTTATTTGTTGTGTACTCACATATAGTAGAAGAAAATTTATAAAATTCCAATTAATTAAATCTCTTTTTTTATCTACAGCTGCGATTGGTTTCTCCTGGTATTTACCGAGAGACAAGAAACCTGCGGAATGAACGTGAGTTATGACAATATTGGTGTTTAAAAATTCTAGTAGATGGCGCTGTCTCCTATTGTAGGTTCTGCGCTTCTCTAAAGGAACATACGGACAGACTGATAAATCTAAAAGTCTTGTAATTAATATAGAAACTGAATATTCTCTACAATGTATCTATACGAATTTTAATAGCAAAATTAAGTCATGTATTTCGAAATTGACTATTTTATTTAATAAAAAATGTTAATAAAACCTATAAAATTAATGTTTGCAATCAATTTCTTATTTTTCTACGAATTTCTATAAACTTTTCACATTGTTTTAAAGGATTCGTTTTTACTTATTACAAAAATGTATTTTGCGATGTATTATACTTACCGTGGGTTTCTAAGGCTAAAATCTCAGTTTTGAACATATTGCTATCTCTGTTTTGTCAAAGATGAAAGACAGGGATGACAATATAATTTACACAGAGATTTAAATGTCAGAAATCCACGGTCAATTAATTAGTTATAAAATTAAAAAGCAGTAGGTATTGGAACAGACAAAAGTTAGTTGTCCGGTTTCCAATTGATTTGGTCTCAAATGTGACAAAATGTGAGTCTTGAAGAGAAATTTTAGAGAGTAATTGCAAAAATAAGAAAACTTTTTGATACGAACTCATTATAAATATTCTCTTGTAAAGCTCAATATTTTCTCTTAGCTTAGTCATTATTATGTTAAGGAATTTATTTCTCAAATCGTCTTTAATAATTTTCTTGTTAAATGTTTATAAATAGATTCTTTTAGCTTTAATGCATACTCGAAATAGAGTACATAAGAAATAGCATTTAAATATAGTTATCTCTTATATCAATAAGTAAATGATAAAGCTGTAAAACATTATAATTAATTACCAACTTACAAAATTAAAAAAACTATGGTCAAATATTTGTATTAAAAATTGTTATCACTCTTAAGATTTGTTCAAATATTGAGACGGAATATTTCAACAGTTTAAAGAGTGTTCAAAAAATGCTATTTAAAATAAAATATATATATTTATTATCTAATTGAATCAGACAAACGCAAAAAGTATTTATGTAAAAGCAATGGTTACAATTACTTGTTTAATCTACATTTTTGTTGCGTACCTGAATTTTATATTATAAACTCGACAGTACTCGATAAATATATCTAGATTTTACTTACATTAGTTACTCTGAGACTGTTTAAAAATTATATTAATATTGAAACGTGTGTCGAAAATTTATTATAATATTTTAATTACATAAGTAAATTTTTAAAATACCATTTTATTAAGTGTTAAATTGTAAATACATAGGTTAAAAAATTAGTTGTATATATTTTTGTATATAATTAAAAAGTTTTGTAAATCATCTATCAATAAAGAGATCTGCATACTATTTTTTTATTTTTTTAATATAGAACTAAGTAATAAACTTCAATATTTATAAGTAAAATTTAAATCAACAATCTGATTTTTCAATAATATCTTTTGACCTTGAACACAAGCACACACTACAATACAATTTTATTGGTATATAAATCACGGGTCATTAAAGTAAAAGTTATAAAGTCGATCTTATGATAACAAAATGTATATATACAATGAAAGAAATTGTATCATCATCATCATCAGCTCACTGTACGTCCCACTGAGAAGCTCGAAACCCTAAGTTAGGGGTGACTACGCCATATTCAACAACGCTGGCCCAGTTCGGAACGACTTCACAGATGCATTTGAATTTCTTCAAATATATGCAGGTTAGATTTATGTATAATACATATGTAAATCGAATATCGAAAAACACATAGGTCCATGGCGCGATTCGAATCTAGGACCTACAAGGTTACAAGTCTTACAAGTCAAGTGCTTTAACATCTAAGTTACCGTCGCTCAAATATTGTATACAACTAATTAATTTGATACATATTTTTTTTTAGTCTAAAAATTCACAAACCTATATTATATAAACATATATGTCACAACTCAGGAGCTCGGAGCTTACTCTAGTTAGAACTTAGAGGTGACCATAGCCAACCACACTCGCACAATACAGATTGATGGAATATTCGCATTTTATCCTATTTAATCATATTCTTACTACAAAATGTGTATTACCAGTGCTTAGGACAAAATTACGGAATGTCATAGATGGATAATATTTTTAGCAAGGTCTTTATACTGATAACTTTTAAACGAGTTGTTTAAAAAAAAAATAACAGATGTCTTTTTTAAATTTTTTTTTATATCATAAGCTGGCAAACGAGCGAGCGGCCACCTGAAATCGCTGAAATAGCGAAGTGACCGTTGCCCATAGACATACGCAATTGCATATGCGTTGCCTACCTTTAATTGACGGAGGAGAGAATGCACAGAAAGAAAATATTTTCCCTTTCCATGCATCCTCTCATCCGGAATGTCCACGTCCTACTTCCCATCCTTTCCTTATTAGAGAAAAAGGGTAGGAAAGGAAAGAGGACCAAATTATGCCTCCGGGACGCACACTCATCAGACGAAACGCGGAATTGCTTCCACTTCACGCCTGTCTTCTGTGTGGCCGTGTTATTTCACCGGGCGAGCCCGGCCAATACGTGCGAAGATGTTAAAGCGGGCTCTACCAC